GTCGGTTAAGCTTTGTGATCTTCAATATTTATGACTCATTTCGATTGTAAATGACATGCTACAAACATATTTGAGTATGTGTAACGTAGTCAAACTCACTTTACTTTATTTTACTTTACAACTCATAAAACCAAACAGCAATCACAATTTTTTCTCAACAACTCCAACATTGCCATACACCACAGTAGCAACTTTCTTCGAATGTAATACATCTCTTCCCAGGTTTTTCTGAAGAGGTGATACCAATCGATTCAAAGTCTATGTGATTTTCAGAACTCGAAATCATCTGAGGTCCTCATTAAGTGAAACGAAACCGGCAAATGAAGACCAATAATAAAACAAGTGTGTTTACTTTTTTTTTCTGATTGACTCGATGAAGATCCATAGCTACTGTATTAGCGAAACATGTTGTGATATATATTTCTCAAACAGAGTTTGTGGAGATCAAATCATCATGAGATATAGTTTATGAAGTGTGTTTACGATGTCCCGTGTGTTGGTGGCCAGAATAATGAAGAACTGACACATAAAGGAGTCTAAATTAACAAAGCATATTTCAACAAGATGATCAAGATAACGCCAAAATTTCAATTACAAAGCCCAACGAAACGAGAAGAGAACTGAAAGAAATAGCTTGGATATGTTCAATGAAAATGGAATATGACATTATGTTCAAGATATTGCGAAAAAACTTGACAATTATGTTTCGAATGTTTTCTGTAAAGATTTGCGATTCTAGATTCAAGAAGAAACGTCCAAGCGAATTGTTTTTTAAACGATGACTGTAACTTGAAGTCACTGTCATGAACATTTTTTTCATGAAAACCTGGATCTCATTAACTTTTCGACTGAATGTATACTTTTGAAAAAAGACAATCGCAATGTGCCACCCTGGTGATAAAGAAAAATGAAGAAAAACTAATCGAAAAGTTGTATCGTAATATTACGAATAAGAACTATTGGAGAAGAGTTTTGAAAAACATTTTCAGTACTCTACATATGAAGTGACGTTGAATATTTCAATAATTCTATAACAAATGCAAGATACTCCTTTTCTAGAGAATGCAGAAAGGAAATTTTAAAATATTCAAGAGACACTTAAGGATAAGATTTTCACTAAACAGTTTTTAAAAAAAGTTATTTCATAATAACATAAATTAGAACTTTTGAAGAATACATTTGAAAAAATGCCTTCAATACTCTACATATGTAGTCACGTTGAATACTTTGTACCGTAATATTACGAATAAGAACTGTTGGAGAAGAGTTTTGAAAAACATTCTCATTACTCTACATATGAAGTGACGTTGAATATTTCAATAATTCTATAATTTTCTTGAGAATGCAGAAAGAAAATTTTAAAATATTTGAGACACTTAAGTTTTTAATAGGTTATTTCATAATAACATAAATTAGAACTTTTGAAGAATACATTTGGAAAAATGCTTCCAATACTCTACATATGTAGTCACGTTGAATACTTTGTATCGTAATATTACGAATAAGAACTGTCGGAGTAGAGTTTTGAAAAACATTTTCATTACTCTACATATGAAGTGACATTGAATATTTCAATAATTCTATAATAAATTCAAGATACTCCTTTTCTAGAGAATGCAGAAAGGAAATTTTTAAATATTCAAGAAACACTTAAGGATACGATCTTCTCTGAATAGTTTTTAAAAGGCTATTTCATAATAACATAAATTAGAACTTTTGAAGAAAACATTTAGAAAAATACCTTCAATACTCTACATATGTAGTCACGTCAAATACTTCAATAATTCTAGAGAAAAATGCAAGATACATCTTTCGTAAAGAATGAAGAAAGGAGGTTTTATATCATCATAACGTTGACAGTTTCGGAGATATGCCAATGATGTTCAAATGTTTTACATCATTTATATATTTATATCATAAAATCATTTTCATTCCTTGACTATAATTCATATTTTCATTGAATGAAAAATGACTGAAACTTACATTCTTTCTGATCGATTCGAGGGTTTGGAAATTCCCAAGTGACTTCCTCAATGTTAAGCTAGGTTATGTTCCATTTCCCATTCATGCAAACTACCGAAGGCAGCACAAATCGGTACATATTTGATTGATTTATGCCACAACGAATCGAAGTACATTTTGCGATATAAAAATTGAATGAGAACAGCGAATGTAGAGAGTGTGCATACATGAAACATTTCCAGATCAAATTGTTAAAAATATTCATGAGTGAGATATTTGAATAATGATATTTTCAACTCAGCGGTGACGTAGCGGCGCAATCTGGATGTTTCAGATCACTCAAAAATAGTTTTTGATTTTATCCTAAGCTATTTGAATATTTGACATCCAATACATTTATAAACCTGAAAAAGTTTTGTTGCCTTGACATGAAGAACATTTACATAGTGATTCACACATATTCGCACGTTAAAAGGTAAGACCTCGTTAGTCCTTAGCTCGCACAAGTTTCTCAACTTTTGAGAGTTGTCGTTCGTATAAGGGCGACAGCTGATTAACGGAAAAACAGATTTTATACAGATTTTTTATAATTCACTGTTCTTTGTTTCTAACTCTTGCTGGCAATTGCTTTCCATTTCCAAAATATTTCATGTATGGATCTGATTTTTACATTCAACTACTGATTCAAACGATTCTGAACAACATACGAGTAATCGATGAAATCACATCAGAGAAGCAACACCATTACCGAGACATATCTTAGGTAATATCAGTGATGCTAGGCTGGACTCAACTATCATTAAAGGATGAGCTCAGTATAAGTAAGCATTGACATTCAGGTTAAATTGTGAAATATTCTGTATTAATATGAATTAACTCTTGCTGGTTGGATGAAAGAGCAATATCTACCTTCATTTGACATGTGCAGATGTGGAATTCTAATATTTGTTAGGTTAGATTAGTATCTCTTGTACTGGGTAACATTTCAATAAAAGCTGATGGATGTTGCCGTTACTACGTGATAGGAAATCATTATGAACAGGATTCAGGTTTACCAATAAGCTCACCACTCAGTTCACTTTCAGCAGACATATTTATGAACAGCTTGGAGAACACTATAGTAAATTCCGGTCTGAGTAAAAACATCCATTTTTGGTACAGATATGCAAACGATATTCTCTCCTGTTTCAGGGAAACTACACGACAGCTGAACCAATTAATGACATTCATGAATAATCATAGAAACATTCACTTCACACTCGAAACAGATAAAAAAACAGATAGGTACATTTCTTAGACCTGACCATTACACACGATTAATATCGTTTCAATTTTACAAGAACAAATAAGTTTCTGATTAAATTACTAACCGAAAATTAGTTTCTTCCTGTTAATATTACTATTTTGAAAAACATTAGAAAATTAGAAAGGTACATCTGAAAAAATAAAAAATGTGTATTTTCAACTGAAGGACATATTCTTTACACAAGATGAGGGACTGCCAATGGGATCGCCACTTTCACCATATATATGGAGTGGTTTGAAACTCTGGTCATTGAAGAAGCCCACAAGAAACCCCAAGACTGGTTGACATCTTCATAATATGAAACCATGGGAGTACTGAACTAGACGCCTTCCTGAAACACATCAACAGCGTAAGACTTTTCATCACTTCCACAATGGAGAAGAAAGTCCATAACGAATTGCCATTCTTAGACGTATTGGTGAAGAGAACTTACACTGAGTGGGAAACATCTGTATACCGAAAACCCACTCACACGGAACAATATCTAACCCACGAATTCAACCACCATCAATCGACTAAAAGAGGAATCATCAATATTCTATTAGACAGTGTTTTAGGGCTCTGTGATATGAAGGAAGGTCTCGAGAAAGAACTAGACATCATCAAAAATGATCTTTAACGGAATGGCTACTCCAAGGCGATGGTGGAACAGACTTCGGCTGAAAGACAGCAAGAGCCTTGGAAGGAAAAGAAGCCGTCACAACCAGTGCAAGCACTTCTCTACATCAGAGGATTATCGGAAAGGATGAGAAGAATTGGGTCCAAGTAAAACATCAAAACCCACTTCAGATCCGGAAACACTATCCGTAGCAACCTCACGAAAACCAGGCCACATAATGCGGATTGCGATTCCAAGAATTGCATTTACCGTGAGTGCGGAAAATCCTATATTTGTGAAACTAAGAGGCCATTGAATGTTCGCATTGCCGAGCACAATGAACACACACAGCGAGAGGAAACCAATAAATCAGGAATATCAGAGCAAATTTGGACCCATCAACATAACATCGAGTGGTTTTAGGCTGAGATCATACAAAGGGAGGAACACTGGTTCGGAAGAAAATTCAAAGAAGCCGCCCGCATACATGTTGTCCAATAATGTAATCGGCCAAGCTGGCGTAGAGATGCGCAACATATGAAAACCTATAATCAAGCGAAAAATGGCCCACTCCTGCGAAACTGTCATCTTCCGCTAAACCGGTGAAACGGAAAGACGAGTGAAAGTACTCGAATGACCCATAAATAATCATCTCTCGGAGGAAATAGTCCAGTTATCACCCGAAGACGATTGTGGATACTACCATTCGAAACGTAACTTGGCTTGGAATCTCTTAATTTTATATTTTTGGCTCAATTGTTTTATTTTTTACTTGTATTTTATTTCACTGCTATTTCATTCCAGGATTTTTTTTGCTTAATATAGTTGTTACTTTCAGTTATTCTGTTTGATTTGTATTGGTTCTTTTAGGGATTCCAAATCATTTTATATATTATTAGACAATTAGTTCGGACTAATGAAATTTACATTTGATACTGTTTCCCATTCTGTTTGCCATTTCGAAATAACTCCTGGAAATAATGAACAAATAGGAGTTGTTTCATTTAAAGAGATATGTGATAACGTCAATAATTGAAAAGGATAAAAAATCGACCTGCTGATGATGTGTTATTTTAAGAACATACTGTAGAACGTATCTCATTGGAAAGATGAAATAGAATTCAAAAAACTTACCGTAAGTCTTCGTCCTTGTTTTTCATCAACTCCGTAACAGAAAACTGGGACACTGCTTCGGCTAATTGTCTATGAAGCATATTTGTGAGAATGGTATTCAGTTGCATTCTTATTGTGTTTCCAATAACATCATCTGAAATTTCAAATAAAGTATTTCAATATTCTTTCACTTATCATTCCAATTCCATTATCAAAACAATTGATGGAATATCGAATTTTATAATTCACTTTTTTGCATATAATAATATTTATTTTGGCGATTCTCCGTTTCCCTTAGATTTTTTTTATATTCATCATAAAAATAATATCCAATTTCTGTTGAGTAGGTATTTGTAAAAATTCCTCTCCTCTAATTGGAAAAAAATGTTCAAGTTTCGATATTCCATTATAAGACATTATTTTTCATGAAATCTAATACATTCTCGCGTAGTTATTTAAAAATCAGTCATCACGCAATACTGCAATTTAATACAATTCACTATAAACGATTCTATTGGGAATGGATAATTAATTTTCATTGTTGTTTTCATTTTATTTTTATCGTTGTTCAATTTCTCTGAACTATATCAATAAATTTTAAATATTTGATGAAGTATATTATGATGAATTACGTTATGAAACTGTACATTATGCCGCTGTACGTTTCTATCTTGTATTATATGATCAATTGCGATTTCTATCGTTTGACGTTATGATGGAGTAAATTTCTGTGTATTACGATTTCTATCTTGTACATTATGGTGCATTAGATGTCCCCATTGCATCGAGTTCTGCGTTATTCATCTATAGATGAGCTGATTTTCTCAACATTAGACGTGTCTGACCCTCCCTGCTCATTAATCCGTTCAAATAATCGATCAAGTATTGTCCAATTATTGGTCAACGGGAAAAAAATGTTTTCCGAAACGTCGACCACCAAATAAAGATGACTTATGATATTGTATTTATTCGATTAATTTTTTCAATTTATAGGCGAAATTCATGAATACGACAAGTTACTGACCAGTTGGGCTCTTCAGCGGTTTATATTACGGAGTAACTTTTCGAAATTAACTTTTCAGCTTGACCTTCATTACACTCAGCAGATTCTCTATTGATTTAGCTTTTATTTTTCAGATTGTGGAAGGTTATATTTCCAAAAAAACAGTCGAAAACATATACCTAGTAATATTTTGTAGAGTGAGAAAAAACGATCATATTTCAGATAGAAACATTTTCGATTGACTCAACGAAGGAGCTACACAGATATAGTAGACAGATAGAATAGAAAATGTTCGCGAATTTAATTATTGGAACAAGAAAATAACTTTTTAAAAAGAATTTATTTTACAAACTAGAGACCACTGTCTCTTACGAGAGCTACAAACAGAATGATAATTAATATAATGTTAACTGGATGCTAACTGCATGTCGAGATAAGGTATTCCTGGAATATCTCTTACTCAGCTGAATCTCCGTGTGAATGGCCATGTCATGGGAACTATGATCACTTAACTCCTCCCTCCTTAGGTCGAAAAAATAATGAAATTTTGGCGGCGTGGAACCATATCCTTGTCATTGGTATTTTCTTCTTTTTGGGGTGTTTTGACGCAACAACATCCCAATATACGGGTTTCAATCCAGTTTTTCTTAAAAGCTGCCAATATCAGGACAATTATCGTGAAAGTATCTCCCGCAAAAACGCCAAAAATGGTACTGTTATTTTCGTAGTTGGTAAATTTGTGGATTGGTTTCAATCGGTCCACCATATTGTTGTTTTCGTAGAGTTCTTCAAAATTTAGTCTCGAGAAATTTTGTGTTTCATATATTGTTGACTTCTCGATATTTTTCATTTCAATTTAAGGTAAGATCAGTGGCTTGCCTGTTTCTATTTTCACGTTGTTGGTGAAAATCTTGTTTCTCACTTCAATTTGTCAATTTTTTGGGATCTTGACTAGGGTTGGAGCTTTTATTTCCAAATATTGATCGGTTTTACATTTGGAAAATATTCTTTCGCTCTGTATCGGAATTACCAGGATTTCTTTTTGGGTGATTTGTTCGATAATCGACTCTGCCACATTGATTGGAAGAGGCTGACAATTATCGGCGACTTTGCCTTCGATCAGGTGGGATGTGCATTGGTCTTCGGAAAAGCAATATTTGCAAACTTTGGGGGTTCATTTCGTTAGATATACCTGTTTTCAATTACTTTTTCTTCAGTAATTTGGTTGGAGTTTTGAATAGATTGATATAGTTTTTTGACATTTTCTTTGTGTGACCTTTAATTACTTCGAAAGGTGTGAATTTGGTAACACTATGTATTGAATTATTATAGCCAAGGACAGCTCTTTTCATCAGCTGTTCAGGTGTGAACGAGTTTCCTTCTTCCTTTAAGCATCGATAATGTTCAGTCACTGTTGAATGGAATCTTTCAACTGGTGAATTAGAATAACTGTTTTCTGAAGTTGTGTAATGCAGCTCAATCTTATGAATTGTACAAAAATTTTCTAGATCTTTATTTTTGAATTCGGTGCCTGAATCAGCGGTTACTTTGAGTGGTAAACCGTGATGGGTAATAAAATTGAGTAGATTTTCGACTACTAAAACTCTGGTTAAGGATTTGAATGGATATGCCTGACCATATCGTGAAAATGTGTCGATAATTGTTGAAAAAGTTTCGTTTAAAATTTTGAATGTATCTATGTGAAAATGCTCAAATGGCTCAAAAGTTGTAGGTGTTAGGTTGAATTTAATTACAGGATGATTCCGAACGTATTTGTTTTTCTGACATGTTTTACATTTATTAATATAATTTTGTATATCTTCTGCCATTTTCGGCCAATGAAATCGTGAACTGAGGGATGTCGTCATTCCATTTATACCTCTATGACAGGTTTCCTTATTGTGATAGCATTCAAGTTTCTCTTTCTGTTCGTTCAATATTTCTACGTCCTCCAAGAATGTTGAACAATGAACAATTTTGAATTAAGAATTCTTGAGTAACTCTTGGATTGTTGTATTCAACATTTGTGAGACTTCTGGGTTTTCACAATGGGAGGCAAATGTTTATTTTGGATCGATATATTCTTTAAGGAAATTAATAATATTCTCGCTCAGATTTTTAGAGGGTATGGTATAAGACCGCAAATTTTCGAATACATTTAAGTTTCGCTATGTCACCAATCGCTACAATTATTTGATTTTTATATGTATCAACTGGTTTTTCTGAAAAAGGGATTTGAAAAACAGGGTCTTCGAGAGAAGTGTGAACGGTTTGTGAATCCAATGTTTTTTCGATTTTATTTAATTTTGGGGGAACAATTTGAATGTCAGATAATATGTTGATTTGTTTTTTCGATTCTTGCGGTTCCAGGACTTCATTGAGAACGTCATCGTTCTGGAATATTATCGTTATTCAAATAGATGTCGATGAGTTCGTTTATGTCCCCAGGATTATTTTGAACTGAAAGTGTTTCGATAGCATTGAAGTCATTTGTATAAGAATTTCTGGAAAGAGCATTCGCTGCTTGATTGCATTTTCCTTTTTTATATTTTACAACATAGTCGAATTCCACTAATTTCAAACGCCATCGCATTGAATTAGGTTCCTTCAGTGAGAAAAGCTACTGAAAGGGTTTGTGGTCTGAATAAATTGTAAATTTTCTGCCGAAAAGGTATGGTCTAAAATATTTGCAACTCCATACAATCGAAAAAAGTTCTTTTTCGATAGTTGAGTAATTAATTTCAGGTGGGTCAAGTGTTCGAGAAGCGTAACAAATTGGGTGTCCATTTTGTGACAAAATGGCGTCAACGGCGTAATTTGAAGTATCAGTTGTGACTTCGAAGGGTTTTCCAAAATCGGGGTATGCGAGAACCGGTTCTGAAGTCAATACCGATTTACAGGTATTGAAATATTCGATAAATTATTCAGTGTGTTCAACTTTTGCGTTCTTTTTAAAACATTTTCGATAATATCCCAATAGTCCTAGGAATGACTTTATCTCCTGTTGTGTTTTTGGTATTGGAAAATTTTTAACAGCTCTGATTTTCTTTGGGTTTGGTTTTATGCCTTCGGGCGTAACAATATGACCCAAAAATTTTACCTCTTCTCTGAGAAACTTCGATTTATCCAGTTGGATCTTAAATTGTGCCTCTCGTAATTTAGAGAAGACCAATTTTGAGTTTTGGATATGTTCCTGGAGCCCAGTGCTGAAAAATTATGTCGTCCATGTAAATCATACCTTATTCTGTAGGTCTTTCAGAACCTCGTCTAATACACGCTGAAGACTTGATGGACCGTTCTTAAGGCCATACGGATGTCTCAGGTACTCGTAATGTCCGTGCTCTATATTAAAAGCCGTTTTATGGATTGCATTTTTGGCCATCTCGATTTGATGAAAACTGTTTGCCAAATCGAGGGTGCTCGTCCCATTTTATCTAAAATGTCGTTTATGTTTGGGAGTGGGTAACGATCACTGATGGTTTTATCATTAAGTTTTCGATAATCGACTACCATACGCCATTTTAGCTTCCCGGAAGCATCCATCTTTTTTGAAACTATCCAAACCGGGGAAGACCAGGGAATACAGCTTGGTCGTATTATATTTTTTTCAAGCATGTCTTTTATTTGACGCTGAACTTCGCTCTCATGAACGTATGGATACCTGTATGGTCTGATATGCATGGGTATTTCGTCTGTGGTCTTGATTTCGTGTTTAACCTTGGAGGTGAATGTTAATTTATCTCCAGGTTTCAAAAATATCTCTGAAAATTCTTTACAGAGTTTCAGTATAGCATTTGTTTCTTCCTTGTTCATGTGGTCTGTACGTATCAAGTCAGCGATATTTATTTCTGTTGCCAATTTGAGTGAGTCCGTCCCTGTATTTTCGAAAGTTTTGTAAGAATACATTTCGAAGGTAGAGGATTGAAAGCACTCTACAGGAAGTGATTGTATCGATTACACTGATATTGTTCTATCGGTGGGTTTTTTTTTTGTACTTCCATAAAGGCGTAACCATTTTTTAAAGTTGTCAACTCTTTCTTGTGGGTTGACAGAGAAAGAAAAACTCGTATCTGTGGACTGTCTGAACTTGAAAGAGATTTCAACATGATTTCCTAGCAGTCTCTTATTTACAAGGTCTATATTCAGGTGCATATTTATCAAGTCTGATAATCCTAAAACTCCGTCAAAGTAATCGTGGAAATCAAATAAAATAAAAGTAATTTCATAGTTTGTGTTGAACTCTGGAAAAGCAGGTATCGAGGCTTGGTACCTTACTTTCTGACTTCCTAAAGCCGTTTTGATAATAGTATTTGAATGATAAATTTTGTTTGGGAATAATTTTTCAATAATAGATGGTTTAATAATCGATCTTGAACTTCCAGTATCGATTAGTAGTTTAATAATTTTATTTTTGTGACTAACTTCGACATAAGGTAATGCATTGTTACAAAATGCATTGANATACTCACAATACAATTTCACAACATCCAGTGGTCTTTCTGTGTTGTTACTATTGACGGTTTGTTGACAAGCCGCGTGTTAGACTTTTTGACCTGTTCGATCGTAGTTGCTTCAATTTCAAGTTATGTTCAAGAAGATGGATGTTGATTTTATTGCTGGTAGTATTACTCGAATAGATATATCTGAGAAAGCAATAGTAAATTAAATGATTGGAACGAGAACATAACTTTTTAAAAAGAATTTATTTCACAAACTAGAGACGACAGTCTCTTACGAGAGCTACAAACAGAATGATAATTAATATAATGTTAACTGGATGTAACTGCATGTCGAGATGAGGGATTCCTGGAATATCTCTTACTCAGCTGAATCTCCGTGTGAATGGCCGTGTCATGGGAACTATGACCACGTAACTCGCGTGCACGAATTGAATTATTTATTTTTACTTACCATTTTGCTATATGTAACAACAATGACAACTCCAATTTTTTCCTCAAATGCTTACTCGTAATTATTGATAAAACTGTTACCCACTCATAACACAAATGACTACTGAATCCATTCAAAGCTTTCAAAATTAAATGATACGGTTCTGTAACTTGACACAAAATATGTATTCGTTCAAACAATGAATGCAATCAGTCGTTCAACGGCAAGTTGTGATAAATTGACAATAACAAGTTCAGGCTTCAATTATCTATCGACCTCAAGTATTTAGAATTGAATTTCGAAATGTTTAAGTGTTCTTTATGACTCTATATCAAAAGTAAGTTACCTTTCATTCTCACATTTGTATCGATTGAAAAACCGAACGAGCACGAACTAAAATTCGCAGAATGTGTATGATAGTATTACGTTTTCGGGACATTTGAGCGTGTCAGTTTTTATATTAATAGAGGTTCTGAATTCATGTAGTCATTGGAAAATTCCGTTTCGTCCGTCTCACTGATTTAATTTAATAGTGTTATGTAATAATGTTTCAAAATATAATCAACATGTTGTGAGACAGACCTCAGTATTTATTTGAACAAATTACATATATGAATAATTTTACTTGCCATACCCATGCTTGCGAATTTTATTTCAGTTTTCTGAAAAACTGGCGATGTAGAAATTTATTTTGCGACAAGTCGTCGTTTGGATCTTTATATAACTTTGATATTCGTGGTTTGGCTTTTTTATCGATGTCCTTCATGATATCTCCGTAAAAAATGCTGCTGATGCTGTATATAACTGACTCCACTTCTGCTTAGGTTCAAAAATTTCCTGATTGAAAATATCGATCACAATCAGAGATTCGAATACGAATAATCTAATTCTACTTCCTCTCAAGTTCAGATGAAAGATTTCTTTAAAATTACTGTCTAGCATTTCTTTGTTCACTCATGCGTTTTCTTCTACATAGACAGCCTTTGATATTTTTATCGCGAACCAGTTCAGAATCACTTCCTATGAATACCTACTATATCTAGTAACCTACTAATGTGACATGATAACGAATTTACAGGTAAGTAGGTATTGCCATTTAAATAACATGTTGGTCAGCATATTGACAAGATTATTTTATCAGTGATGAAAAAGATAAATGCTTCGATGCGAATCACATTTTGGTATTTGAGGAACTGTTTTATGATATAATTGTTTTTTAGAGGTTCGAATAACATTTGATCAGGATAATGAATCAGTTTCCATAAATACTTTGCTGCTTCATTGAACTGTAATGGAACTTGAGTTTTCTACGTAACCGTTTAGAAAACTAATTCACAAAAGCTCCTTCGGATGTGTCTAATACTGACAAATAGATCGGATAATATTGAATTCATAATTTAGATCATTATGCACTGATGTTTAGTGCCACAGATGTTGCAACATTCATTAGTTTTTCAGACATCGAAGTATAATAATTTCGTTAAAAAAATATTAATCTTATTACTGTTTGGAAAAATTGAAAAATATAGTTTCATCTGTTTCATCCAAAAAACCATATCTTAAGGGTAGCCGGGCGGTTCAACTTGGGTGCCTTGGTCACTCAGTCAATCGGTCGATGTGTGAGTCGATGGTTCAAGCCGCAGGCTAAACGCTCGATTTTCACTTGCTATCATCCAACCCGTGTTAGGAATAACGTTATTCCTTGGCTCGCACAAGTTTTGACTTCTGAGGGTTGTCGTTCATAGGAGTGCGATAATTGGTTAACGAAAAAAACATATTTTAAAATTTTTTTTTAATCAATAGCCTGTTACAATTTTTTCACACCTGATACTGATGGCCAAGCACCAATTTCCCGAAAGCAATTTTGCCGGATATATAGCGGATATATAGCTCTTATCGTATAGAAAACCTATGTCTTATGCATGTCTATGCAGTCATCTTAGTAAGTTTACTTCGGAATTCGGATACACAGCGATAAATTCGTATAAAAATGTATTTTGACAACCTTTTTTTTCAATTTTTTTTTATACGTTGAATCATTTTCGAGATAGGGGCGGGAGCGCGCGGTTAGAGTATCATTTAAGGTCAACTTCTAGTCTCGGTCAAAAACATGCTATGTATAGTTCATTTATTATTGATGACTACATTATTATTGATAATGTTCATTTCTTATTAACTATTAGGTACATCATATTTCCTGGAACCTACCATGACAATTTCCACGCCTGCTACAGAGGAATTGGCTCAACACAATATTCTGACACTGCAAAGAGTGGTTGGGATTTGCGATAAATATCATATATTGATCTGAGCATTTGCAAGCACTTGACCTAATTTTTTTGTTGGTGTGGATGCCGATGAGAAGTCATTGAGCAACTCTTCGCTAGGCGTTATGCTATCTTCAAAATATTTAACGTATCAAAAAAACACTTTATTGAGATTTTCACTTACAAACTCGTAGCAGGGCCAACTACAATGATTTGTTTGAACTATACGCGTTGATTCATTATATATTCCATGAATCTATCTACCCGTTGAAATTTTAAAACTTGTTAACGTATTCAAAAACACTTCATTATGAGATTTTTACTGAAGAGAAAAAAACGCAACATGTGTTTCGCCATACAATGGTTTCTTCAGGTGTGTCTTTACTAACTATATTCTACATATCTAATGTTTCATGTGTTCCTGAGTTTGTAATGAATTATATTACCTGAGCTTATGTACCAGTTTCCACATTGAAAAATATATTTAGAAACGGGTAGTCATTCAATTCTAATTGATCATTCAGTAAATTACCTGAATTTTTGAATATATTGATTTTCTAAACACTCTGAAAGATTTATTTTCTTTTCTATCCTAAATATAACACGTCGTATTCAGTATTGAACTCATGTTCTTCCGCTGAAAGGTGGTTAGCAAATGTGAAATTGGTCTTTCTATTAACGAAACTACTTCTATGCTCTTTAATTCTTCCAGAAAATGTTCTCCCTGTTCGGCCAATATGCAGTTTTGGGCAAGAACCACAAGTCAGCCCTTATACTCCTGATCAATTCGACATCAAAGTTTTGTCTTTATTGTTTTCAATTAATTTACCCATGATAAATCTGTACCTCAGAGCCAGATGGACGTAAGTCCAAAAGCAGCGATTTTCAGGTTATTGGTGGTTTGCACATATAATTTCATGGTCCATCCGGCCGTAACGACGTATGTTCTCTAAAGATTCATACACTCACACACGACGCATTTACGGCTGCAGGACACATTAACGAAGTTTCGTGAAAAATCTTTTGGAGCCAAGATAGGTTAACAGACGCATGCTGAATGGCGATTATGAGCTATACTGGTCACCTTTAGATCCTAATTAAGACATGCAACCTCCTGCTGCCGGTGAAGATGTGCATCTGCAGACGATGTCCTGGAATCCAAATGGAATGACGAAACAAGTGCGCTGTCGTCAGTAAAGCAACATATTGGATTCGTGTTTTTTCCAATAAGTCGTTGATATACCATAAAAACAGGGTCAGAGACCCTGGGGAATACTAGCGTTGATGGTAAAAGTATTTGAGGGATATGCATCGATGGCCACTTGCAGGGAAAGTTCTTTTGAAAAGATGGAAAACCATACTCAGAAATGATCCGACAAGCCATAGCATCGAAGTTTGGCCATCAAACCCTCATGCCACACATGGAAAGTTGTAATGTCTTTGCAAATTCTCTAAGAGTTCCACTGTGAATAACCAAACATTCCATATCCTTGTACCAAAAAAAATGGAACTGAAGAAAAGTAGAACTTATAGGATCCTTTTGAGGATAGTGTTTCAATTTCAAATTGAAATTTTTTGAAGTTCGTCAATATACATTGGAAGGAGACGAAACTCAAACCAAAAGATGAGTTTTAGCGATGGAAATATCTTTTAAGGTTCCATTGAGTGTACTGCCCCCAATTACTATCAAAATTCAAATCTAAGTGCAAAACATTTTGCCTCCAGGCATATACTGCGATGACAGCCTGACGAAATATATCTTCAAAAATGACTAGCTTAGCTCAGAGTTGCAAGAAGCGAAAGACAATTGAGTCAAATTGTACATGTTTTCTGATGCAGATGAAAATGATTACACAGCTGCAGTATAATTGGGGTTAATCCTTAAAATTGCCATGCTATCATCAATCTCGAGTTTCGCAATTCAAAATTCGGAGCCAATTTGGAAGTGAAACTAATTCATCAGCGGAAAATTATCTGAAAATAAATATGAGAGATAGCTTTTATTGCACGGAAAATTTCAAATTCAAGCTGAACTTTGGTTGAAAAGTTCAATATTTTGACAATGAGACAAAAATATGTGGTCTGAGTTTATCCAACCACAGAATGGTGATTTAAATTGAAAGTGGTATATTTTCAGGAGAGATTAATTTTTACTTAATTGTTTTATTTTTTTTTTTTTTTTTTCAGATTTCATTATTGTTTTATTCCATATCATCATGTATAATCTTGAACGACGGATGAATATTTGATTGTTTCACAATGAATAGTTGAGCTTTAAAATTATTTTCATTATTTTTACAGAGTATTCAATAGAGGCGACGAATGGATTTGAAACAACACGAACTTTGGTAAATAGTAATACTGATTACTGGTATGCAATCGCCTGTCCTGGAGATGGAGTCAAGAAAGAAAAAATTCAATGCCAATCCCAGAGAAACGGCTAGTTTTTGGTCCATCATATCATTCAGGTTCGTTGACTCAAATTAAAGTATTCAGCTCAAGGTTTATCTGATAATCATCAAAAGTACAATTCCGAGAAGACGGTAACTTTAAACTGAACATTCGTTCACACTAATCTTGTTTTAGATTTGTCATTATCGCCAAAAGTTATTCGTTCTCTTTGCTTAAACAAAACAAATCAAGCAGAGATAGCGAATAACTTTTGGTCGCAATGATTCGCTGTATGTGAACGGAACACAACTGATGTTAGTTAGATCACTATTTTTTACAAATAATGCCTGAAGCATTTGTTGTAATATACTTTCATTTCTTGCATTGTGTTCCATTGAACATTGGCATTTACAAAATAATAACTTTGTGTCAGAGGTATGTAATGGGTATCATCTGTGGATTCGTTTATTTTTCAAAGTTCAAAAGCACAAATTCTGGAAACATAGGGACAACAAATTATTTCTTCCAAGAAGGTAGATGCTTTTCACGCCGGTTATATATTGTTCAATATATGTCGTTTTTTAACTGGAAAAATACATTTTTCACGATGGATTTGATTGTTTGTTTGTGAGAAAATGAGAAAATAGTGATTTTGTTGGAAAAGCATTATATTAGTAATAATTCCGGTAGTATAGCATTGCAACTTTTTGGAAATATCCAATAAACTGTGTAAGAATGAGTAGAATGAACCAAACCAAAACTGTTTATTAATTCAAATATCTTACATCAACTACTATCACCTAGTTACTAAACAAATTGTATTTCAACGCAGTTGACAAAGCTTATAAAATATAATACTCCCACTCTTTGATAACGTGTTTTATACGATAAAAAGGGCTTCTCTGTTCTTCACAAATTTCTCTTTTGGAAGGGACTTTGTGAGAATATCGGCTAGCTGATCTTCCGAAGGGACGTGGCAGACAGTAAGAGAACCATTTTCTACACATTCACGTATGTAGTGATACTTTACATCGATATGCTTAGTTCGTTTATGATATTCGGTGTTTTTAACTAACTGTATTGCACTCTGATTATCTTCAAAAAGCTTGGTAGGAACTTCAGTTAAAAAGCCAAGTTCTTGTAAAAATATTCGAAGCCACATCACTTCTTGACATGTAGTCGACCGTGAAACACATTTTTGAATATGAGAAGACCATGTCACGGGAGCTCCAGCTATACTTGTTAAGTACCCGGTTGTTGATTTTCTGGTATCCAAATCACCGGCAAAGTCAGCATCTGAGTAAGCAATCAAAGTTTTTTCTTTTCCAGTGTATAGTAGTCCTACATTTTCAGTACCTTTAAGATATTTGAAAATACGCTTGACAGCATTCCAGTGATTTCTTTTTGGATTAGACAGGAATCGACTCACTTGACTGACAGCAAACATTATGTCTGGACGTGACACAACTGCCAAAAACATTACACAGCCAACAGCCTCTCGATATGGTGCACTGCAATCTTCTTCATTGTTTATATCTTTCAAATAAAGTGGTGCATTGGGATCAGCAGGGATTGCATTGGGACTACAGTTTTGCATGTTGAATTTCTTCAGAATTCTGCATATATAACCCTTCTGACTCTAATAAATTTTCCGTTCATCCCGGTTTCTTTTGATTTCAATTCCCACGGAGTATTCTGCATCTGACGTTGTCAACTTAAATTTGGCTGCCAGTTTTTCAATAAAAATATCTATTAACCGAACTGATTCACACAGAACTAGTCCATTATCAACGAACAATGCCAAAAATATATCTACGTTTTCCATTTTCCCATAAAAAACGCATTTATCCGCTTCCAATTGTTTGAACGAAAATTCAGCAAGGACTTTTGTGAATTCCATGTTCCAGCATCGTGGCGACTGCTTCAACCCATAAATACTTTTCTTCAGTTTGCAGACCAAGGAACGATCTTCACTTTCGAAACCTTCAGGTTGTTTCATGAATATATTTTCTGATAAAGTTCCATTCAAAAACGCAGTTTTGATGTCAAACTGACGAATTTCCAAATTTCTGACAGCTGCTAACGTCAAAAGTATTCTGATAGATTCAAACCTAATTACTGGAGAAAATGTTTCATTTAAATCTATTCCAGGGGTTTTCGAGTATCCTTTAGCACAGAGCCGTGCTTTATATCTATCAATTTGTCCATTTGATTTCATTTTCACCTTGTGAACCCACTTACAACCGACAGCTTGGCGATTGGGAGGTAATGGTCCTAGAACCCATCAAGGGACTTTATTTCATCCTCCATTGATTCCTGCCATTTTTCTTTTTCTTCGCTTTCAATTGCTTCTCTGTAAGTTTGCGGTTCATCGATAATAGCCGCACATAGTACTTCACTGAATTTTAGTGGTTTTTGTAATAGGTCCCGATTTCTCAAATGGTATCGTTTATTTTGATTTTGAAAGTTGAAATCGGTTTCTATGTTTCCAGAGACATTTTCTAGAAGAGTTTCCTCTTCAGTGAACTGGACGGAATTTCTCTCAGAATCATTTTCCTGCAGACTTTCTATCTCAAATGATGCATAGTCGGGACTTGGAAGTTCTTTGACGAAAACACCTTCATTGAAACTTACGTCCCTCACCACAATGACTTTTCTTGAATGTGGATCATAAATTCTGTAATTTGAACCATATCCATCATATCCAACAAGATACTGTTGATTGGATTTCTTGTCAAACTTACGTCTAAACTGTTTCGGAATGTGAATATATGCTTCCGATCCAAATGTTCGTAAATGACTGAGATTGGATTGCTTTTCTGTCCACTTTTCATATGACGTTTTGTAATCAGTTCTGGAAATTCTACGATTCAATAGATATACAGCCATATTCACTGCTTCTGCCCATACTTTTGATTAACATGGTTCTTGTACTCTCAACAATTGATCTGAGATCTCGTTCTGCATTCCCGTTCTGTTCAGGAATGTATGGCGCACCAGTTTCATGAATAATTCCTTCTTTATTAAAATGATCTTTGAATGACTGATTGACATATTCTGTCCCGTTGTCACTTCTGACGATCTTGATTTAATTTTTGGTTTGTCTTCTGATCATTTTTTTGACTTCGAGGAATTTTGAGAAAACATCACTTTTGTGTTTGACAAAATATACAACGCGATACGATGTACACTCGTCCTTGAAGAGAATGGAGTAATTTGCACCTCCAAGTGATGTACATGATATTTTGCCACAGACATCAGTATGAATGTATTCTCCTGGTTTCCAAATTGGAACATGATGACTTTTCATGAAAGGCCTTCGCTGTTGTTTCCCAAAATGATAACTGCTACAGAATAGACCATCTATACTTTTTATTCTTGTATCTGGTAATTGACCTTTATCAGCCATTTCCTTCAGTGAACGAAAGTTAATGTGACCTAGTCGATCATGCCACATCATTGCAGACTGTATTTGTGCAGAATTACTCTGTTGACTTTCTGGAACATCAAATAACATTCTGTAGCACTGATTGGTCTGTTTGATTCGTGAGACAATTGAACCTTTCTCATTTCTTACTTCGATTTTAGATTTATCGAAAATAACTTTGAAGTTTTTATTGGCTACAGCTCCCACTGAAAATAGATTCTTCTTCAGTTCTGGCACGTACAACGTGTTTTCTAATGTACGAAACTCTCGACGACCATAGACTAAGGCTATTAGTTCTCTCGAACCTATTCCATCAGCATAAATGACTGAGTTATCTCCTATCTGAACGGCAATTTTGGAATCAAGTGGTTTTAGCTCATCAAACCATTCTATATGAGAGGTCATGTGTCTGGAGGCAGCACTATCAGCAAGCCAAATATCTTCACATCCATGGGCTATAATATTTTTCTTTTCGGCATTAAGTGCTTGATTGTGTTCTTGATTGTTAATATTAATTTTATATTCCTGATTACTATCACGACTATTTTCACCATATTTGTTGATACTTTTTCTGCATTCTAACTTCAGGTGTCCTCTTTTCCTACAATAGAATCACACAATGTTTTGTTTGTTCTTAGCTTTGGAGGAATTACTTTTATCGACACTTGAATTGTTTCTCTTATGGTGGAATTTCACAGCAGCAAATGCATTTGAAGTTTCTTCCATTTGACTCAACCTCAGCTCTTCTTTCAAAAGTCTAGCCGTCAAGTTATTATCAAACATTTGTTTGTCCTCATCATAAGAGTCCCGTTCAGTAACAAACGCGCTATATTTATGAGGTAGACTACCCAAAACTTTTGCAACTTTATCAAGATCTGACACCTTTTCTTCTACGTCGGATAATGCTTGGGCCATTGATTCAACCTTGCTTATATGCTGAGCAATCGTATCTGTTTCGGACATTTGATAATTAAAAAAATGCTGCTTTAGTAGCATAACTTTGTTGACAGAAGATCTTTGCTCGTGTATGAGTTTGATACTTGTCCACATTTCTGAAGCAGTTTCACAAGACATTTTAGTTTGGAGTTGGGAGAATTCCATCGATGTAGATATCAGAAGCATTGCTTTCGCATTGAGATCATCCCAATCCTTTCTCTCCTCGCAAACTAATTCACTTGGACGTTGGTTGGTTGCATTAACTAAGGCAGTTAAACCCTCAGCTCTAAAGATTATTTCCATTTGAAATTTCCATAACTGGAAATTGCTGCCATCAAACTTTTGGATACTGAGACTTCTAAACTTGTCCATTTTATTCCTTACTGTGCCTGAACTTTACGTTTTCCTCAGGAAGTAAAACCAATGTGACAATGACAACTAGAAGAGTCACAATTTTCTCCAAATTCAGTACAGGGATGCTGGCTTTTTCTGGAACGTTTTCTTCTATTATCAACTTCAAGAACAGTTACTCATTCGTGATCTGGGCCCATAACCATTTGGGAATACCCAATAAACTGTGGAAGAATGAGTAGAATGAACCAAACCAAAACTGTTTATTAATTCAACTATCTCACATCAACTACTATCACCTAACTACTAAACAAATTGTATATCAACGCAGTTGACAAAGCTTATAAAATATAATACAACTGG